CTGAAGACTTACTTGCTACCCAACCAAAAAACAGAGTACCACCCAGTTGACTTTGAATCCATTCTGACTCATGGCCACTCCAGGTGTGTCAGAGTAGAGCTGAGCTCCATAGGGTTTTCAGAAGGTGATCACCAGAACTTTCTTCCAAGGTACTTCTGAATGGAATCAAAATTCCAACCATTTGGTTAGTAGTCCAGTGAGTTTGTACCATTCAGACTCTACAAGCAGTCATCTTATTTGACATAAAATGATATTCCCTTTTTTTGGCTGATTGTTCTCTGGGGTGGGTCCATAACAAATAGTTATGCAGTTCAAAACCAAACCAAACTCACTGCCATCTAGTCAATTACAACTCACAGTGACCCTGCTGGATTTCACAGACTGTAAAATTTTACGGAAGCAGACTACCTCATCTTTCTTCCATGGATTGGATGGTAGATTCAAACCACTGACCTTTTGGTTAACACCTAAAGGCCTTAACCACTACACCACCAGAGCTCCTTAGATATACAGCTCATAATGCCTTATTTTCTTCTCATTTTTATTGCACACCTTCATCACAGTATTTGAATGGTCAACTGTTTTGCCAAAAAGAATATTGACTGACCATAGCTGGAGCTATTTTGAAAAGGCTAGTCTGCCAGTCCAGTAGCTGATTGGGAAAGCACTTGATTGATGTAGTGTAGGAAGGGAGCTCTGGTGGTATAGTGGATAAGGCACTTGACTGCTAACTGGAAGGTCAGTAGTTCAAACCTACCAGTTGCTCTGTGGAAAATGCGGCGACCTACTTCTATAAAGATTTACAGCCTCAGAAACCCAATGGAGGTCACTATGAGTCAGAAATGACTCAATGGCAGTGAGGTTATTTTTTTTGTTCTTAGGGATGCTTCAAAAGTGGGCTTACATTTCAGACATATGATCAGTATTTTGTTATACAACCTCGGTGAGAAATTTCTGTTCCTGAGATTCCTTCTGCCCCTTGGAAAGAATAACAAATGGGCACATTGTATTTTTTTCTTGGCTGAACTTGGCTTACTCAATTTGGAAACTTTAGTTTGAAAAAGAAGTAGAAACACACTGCCAAACCCTCCGAGGGGGATCTATGTAGGAGATCCTGGATAGAGAGGGAGAACAATGTGGAACAAAACTCAAAATTATTTGGGGGAAACAAAACGGGGACCAGGTTTGCTGGTCTGATGGACCCTGATGGAACCACTGTGCTATGACCCCTAGCTGCCCTTCAGGTCTGGAATTGAACCCACACCTGTGGCTTCCAGCCAAATAAAAGACAGGCATATGAGTTGAACATTTACGTTAGGTAGATACACTCATTGGAAAGAACAATCATGGGAGAAAGAAGGGCTGTTTATGAGCAGGGAGACAGCTCAGGGGCAGGAGTGCATGGAGGGATGGACACTGGGAAGAGGTAACTATGGGGAGGAAGTGGGAGGGAAGCTGTTGCATTGTGGTAAATTGTAGTCAATGTCATGAGACCATGTGTGTGTGAAGTGCTATATGGAAAGTGAATTTGCTCTGTAAGCTTTCACCCAAATCACAATAAAAAAAAATGGGGAAAAAAAAAGCAGAAACAATGGCATGATGTATTTTGCAATTTAAATTATGTTGTTGTTAATTGCTGTGGGGTCAATTCCAACTCATGGCACTCATGTGTGCAGAGTAGAACTGCTTCATAGGGTTTTCAAGGCTGTGATCTTTTGGACGCAGATCACCAGGCCTGTCTTCTGAGCACCTCTGGGTGGGTTGGAACCTTTTGGCTAGTAGGTGAGAGAAATTATAATTGAGGCCACACAATGAAAGTTGAAAATGCAACACTTTGCTTTTGTTATTTGACATAATCAGGAGTGAACCTAGCAACTGGGGTATTCAGCTTAGTTACTTGGCTATAAATTGTGCCCCTAAACTTGGATCTGCAACCAAGGGGCAGACCAAGGGGCAATTAAGTACAATGGAGTGAACTGCCAGAATAGATGAAACCAAATTCGAGCATCAACACCTAAAACTGTGGGCCTCTAGAGAAGTTGTTTTTATTTTATGAGGGAGAGTATTTAATCAACAAACATTTTTCAGCACAAGTACCATGCCGGATGGATGCTTCGTAGATCCTTGGTTCGCAAACCAGCCTTTCATCAGAATCTTCAAGGGAAAGCTTTTTTTTTTTAATTGTGATTTAGGTGAAAGTTTACAGAGAAAAAGAGAAAATTCACTTTCCATACAGCAGTTCATATACCCTTTGTTTTATGACATTGACTGTAATTTACCACAATGCAACAGCTCCCCTCTCATTTCCCTAAGTTACTTCTTCCTTGTGTCCTTCCCTCCATGCACTCCTGCCCCCTGAACTGTCTCCCTGGCATACACAGCCCTTCTATTCTCCCATGATTTTTCTCTCCAAGGAGTGTATCTACCTAGTATAAATATTTACCTCATATGCTTGTCTTTTGTTTGGTTGGAAGCCACAGGAATGGGTTCAATTCCAGACCTGAAGGGCAGCTAGAGGCCATCGTCTCAGTGGTTCCATCAGGCTCTA